AAAATTATGATGAAATCCGTTTTAAAAAGTTAAGTTTTAAAAAAGATCCTTGAATTTGTAAATGATTATTTTGAGATTAAAAAAGATGATGATCCAAATAGTACCAATAATCAGGAAAAATATATTATGTATCATACAAATAAACTAATAGATCTTTTAAACAAATTTTATAGTAGTCATTTTAAACAAGATAATGATAATGCAATTAAAGCTATTCCAATAAAAATACGTCAACAAGTATATGGTATGTTAGGTGAATTTGGTTTTTCTGAGATTTATGAAAATAAAAAAAACCAATATGTGCATCCATTCATATCATCCACAGTGCTAGAACTCAATAAATTAATGGCAGGATATCGTTGTATTGAAGATGATACTAAAAGAAAGAATGTAGAAAATATGTCAGAAAACCTTATCAAGGATATCATCAGAATATTTAAATTTCGTTTATTAGTCCAAGAACCAAAATATGAAGTACATTGGTATGAAAATAATGTGAAAATAGATACACAGTTTATGAAAGGACAATGGGATGATGATTGTTTGGATAATTATGTAGTGGATATTTGTTATTTTCCTTTGATTGGAATGGAATTGAATGGTGACCTTAGTAAGGCTAAAGTGTTTATGTGTGCAAAAGTTTTCCCTCAATGTATTGCACCACCACTACCATCTCGAAGAAAGAAAAGAGAACCATCCATGAAACATCCTGATGAAACAGATGAAGGTCCAAAAAAAACTAGTATATTGGGTTTTTTTAAAAGTAGATCAAAGAAAAATGAAAACCAAACTATCTCATTTATGCCACAAGGAAAGAAACTAGAAATTTCAAACGATCAAATAATTGATAATTCACAAGATAATTCTGAATATTTTGACATAATTGATAATCTACAAAATGCAAATTCTGATGATGATAAGATAAAATAAGCACGAAGAACTATTAGGGCAACAATTACATATTCAATATAACCAAAGAATTTTTAAATTTTAGTTTTTTTTTTACCCTAATTATTATAATATACAAGAAGGTTTTTTTAAAAATTATGCTATTATAATTAGGACGATTGTGTGATCAGGAATTTTTTTATTTAATAAAGTAAAATTTTTTCTGATCGCAAAACTATTTTGTCGAATACACTACCATTAAATTTGTCTTTCCATTTTTTTTTCAGGAAATCTAATAATTTTTCATGACATGTATACCAAAGGAGCTTACCAATATTTGATTTTTTTCCAAAAATGTTTCAAAGATGTATATAAGGTACTCTATGCCTCAAAC